TAGAAATTATATGACGCAAGAGATTTCTGTGTATTATAATATAGATTTTCGCTGTGTATTGTGTAATATATTGTGTACTTTTTGTAATTTATTAGAGTAGAACTAACCTTAGAATATTTGCTAATTTGCTCATATTGTCATTTATTCTGAATTTAGAGAGCTACATTTTCAAGAATTTCCACGTTTTATTTTGTATATCGTAGTTTAATAGTTAACATAATGTTTTTCAATGATAGCCTATCTAAAATCTATTAAACCAAGCGTATCACAAAATTTTCGAAAAATTCTAAGAAATCTACTATCCGTAAATATCATAGGCGGAAATTAACAAACGATAAATTAAATGTGAGAGCATGCATTCATAATTAGGAGATTGTAGGTAGCCAGAGCCTTGTCCATGATCTTACTGCAAGGTACCTCGCGTGAAACAAGTTGAACTTCCTCTGAAACACTGCATACAATCTATATAAATTCTTGAGGAAACGAATACAATATTTATTTTTCCAATTAGGGAGGATTCCTTCGTTCACTTACGTTATCGCTAATTATGGGTATAGTGTCAGGCAAATATTCGCGATAGAATAGATTAGATTAGTTGGAAAGTTCTATCGACTTCTTTCACTTAAAGTTTCTTTTAGTTCGATAATTTATATCCGCAAATATTCTATTAGCCAGAATAAAAATTTCCAATTACAAGGAAGCATTTTCCTCATAACATTCGCAAAGTGTACCATGAAATGGAGAAAGTATGCTTCGTGTATCGATGTGTCATTTCATTATGGCTCCTAGAAGAACTCCTAAAAAAGCGAAGAAATTATAAATTCTATACTTCAGAGGGAAAATGTAGACGATAAGTTTGAGTAGCGTTTCAGCAGCGTAAGGCGAAGAGTACCAATTAAAATTTCTCACTGAAGTGTTGGAATGAATTTAAATGGAGAGAAAGGAGAAGCATTAAATAAGAAATGTCGATAGGAATTTCCGACAGATCGGACAGTTCGCGTGAAATTAGCAGCGGCGTCATGTAAACTATTCAGCATTTTACAAACTCCATTGCATCGAATTTTCTTAATCGCTTCGATTGGACGACGCCCTGCGTTTCGCATAGCAATTCCCTTTACAAATGCGAGCACTATCCCGCGCACTTTGGGGTCACGTTACTTTCATTGAACAACCTTTGACGTATTCCATGCTATTGCAACGATCTACGAGGGATCCCACGATCCACGAGGGAGGATACGTGATCTTTTAGGTGTGATTCATACCTTATTGTAAATATAGGTTGAACGTGTAAGGCATCGCCTCTTGAAACAGGTTTCAGTAGGTTACAATAATTTCAATTATGCTTCATATCCTACTATATTGTATTATATCTATTTCTGTAATTGGAATAGAAGACTAAAATAGGATAGAAGTGATCGAACTAATTTCTACATCTAATAAACTGATATAAAAATGTACATGATCTCATTTCCTCGTTATAATGTCTTATTTTTATTGTTCTTGTATTACTACATTTTTCGTCTCTGATATTATCTCCAGCTCATTATAATTAAAATATTGTAATAAATAAAATATACTGAAATAATGTGTGAAATTCTAATAAAAGACGGCAGTAGTTGAACAAATGAACAATTAAGAGAATTAAATGTCGGATAAATATTATTAAATAATAACTAGTAATTTAAAATTCAATCGAAATATTATAGTAGCGTATCACGTAAATGAAATCTCACAAGCAAAATAAGTATAAGCACATAAAATAGTGTGCATTTAGAATGAAACGTACCTAAGTACATATACAAATAGAAACAGAAATTAGAAATACTTATTCCAAAAAACATATTTAGACCCTAATCGTTCAAATTTATCTCGTGAAATTTGTACAATATTCGTCTCTTAATAGTCATCTGCTGAAACGCTATACTTTTGCTCTGACCTATCCGTCATTGAATGCAACTGGCACGTCATGTCAACTACGCCCAGCTCGAAACGGAAGGAAAGTTAGGCAAAGACAAAGAAAACTTAGACAAAGGGACAATTATCTTATTATGCTGGCTCGCAAATAATACCCGTGCAGTTGGAACGAAAATAAAAATGTAGTTGAACAGGGCGTCCGTTTATCAGTATTGGCAATACGGGTGCGGCAAGGCAAACCGGCCGTATCGAAGCAGGAACTCGATATCCTTAGTAGTGGACCCAAAGAAACGCATACCGTAACGTTTCGCGTCACGTCGATGTCCTTTAAGAAAGTCGATCACGAAGTTAATTTATGGCCAAACGGGTGCAGTTCACGCTGGATGCAGCATGCGAGCACCGGTTACATACTTGTCGAGCCACTTGAATGCCCTGCATCCGTGTTACATTTGGTCACTTCATCCATTTTTTCTTTTTCCATTCTACTGTCATAAGTTGATAGATAGAATTATGACAAGCTTTTAAGCTTTTAGTATGTTTCAACGTAGAGAAATTAGTTGCTCGTATACTGAATTTTTATTCAAATTCGTAGGTATTTTTATGGAGACAACTTGTATAAGAAATTTGTCTTATTCACTGAATATCATAATAAGTGACTTACTTCGAAAATGTTTGTATATCACGCGCGTCTTGTAAATTTTTGGAGATTTAAATTTCCCATAAATACATAAATATACCCAATCTAGTTATCAAATAGCTTATTTATAACAAATATCAATTTCTGAAGCTTGATTAATTTAATGAAACGCAAAAAATATTGTTGAATAATATTTATAATATGAATAATGTTCTTAAAATTCTTATGCTATACAAAACAAACAAGATAGGAAAACTAGTATGCCATGTATTACATTACGCGTTTCTCCAATATTAATTCAGAATCATTCGAATATATTTCAGTAATGTGAAAGGCAATGTTTTACTTTTTCAGTTGTCTTTTATTTATAAAGGTATATTGGTTATACATTTCGTTTCATGATTATGGCAGTAATATACTGACTCTGATTAGCTGCGCGTGACATCAACAGTATAAAAGTAATCTAAAAACAGCTGCTAGAGGCAGTGGCATCAATCATTCACTCCTCACAACAGAAACAAACAGAAAATAATAGTAATAAAAGAGGAAATAGAAAAAAACATAAAAGAACGAGAAGAACAACTCTCATCTTATCTATATTAAACTTATACTTATTTAAAAATTCATATGCCAATGTGCCTCCTTAACACGTTTCAATTTCAAATGATTAAAACGAAATCGGATAAATCCCAGAGAAAAGGCACTATACGTCTATTAAATATAATATTCCACTCTCGATCGTACAAAGTACCACGATTATAAATCATTACGCTTTACATCGCATAAACGTTTCATTCCCGCATGCAATTCTCTTCGAAACAAGAAAAAGAAAAACTCTAGAAGAAACGCTGGATCGCGTTAGATCCTCGATAGACATATTATTGCAATCTCTACAAATTTACATTTTCATCGACGGCGTGCAAATGGCAGGCATAATTTTTCGAACTATGTCATGCTGGTTTCTGGTACTCTTCGTTCGTAAAAATCAAGACCGTAAATTAGTTTTCATATTTGCACCTTCGTGTCGGTCGTTGTTACACTCCGTTTAATCGCTCCATTTAATCCCTTTAATCACCTCTTTTTAATTCTTCAATTTTCTATCACTGATTCATTGTGACATCAGACACAATAGACGGACGTGGGAAAAGTGGAATCCGCTTACACGAATCGTTCAGCTTTGTATCAAATTTTCAACGACCTAACTCCAACTATTCTAAATTCATACAAACTATGTAAAAGATGTTTCTCGTTAACTGCATTAGAAGAAAGGCCGGCATTTTTGTCTTATTTTTCTCCATTTCCTTTACATCGTTACTAATTAAGCCGCTATAAACGGTTATTGTTCATGCATATTTATCGCACGAGTGTCAGCGAACGTTTTCTATCAAAATTACTCGCAGAACCTCCTTTTCTGTCTTTTCATTCACATTTTGTCTTCATTTTTCGTCTTCGTCCTTCCTTTTCTTCGTAACAATCGCAACTATTGTCGATACGATTAACACTATATTGCACTAGTTAGAATTATACAAAATATATACCTAACGGTAGGTATAGCTTTTTTCTTTTTCTTTCTTTTTGAAGTATACCATTTTAGGCACCGTTATCCTGGAAGTAATTTGGATCGAAAATAAGCCGGAAATGAGTCGTACGTGAGGCAGGAGGCACGGCAGTTTTAGCAACATTATGTTCTCGCTGACTATATAATGTTTTATTCTAAAGACGAGAGGAAGAAAGCGCTGTAGAAGCGAATCCTATGAAGTTATTGGAAGAGACAGTTTGTTCACAATGCATGTCTCTCGCGGGCACTCGATGAACTAATATTGTGAAACGACATTGCTGCTAATTTTTACATTGAGTAATAAAAAAAGCGTACGAGGTTTCCATTGATTAAAATTGAATTGGAAATCGATAAAGTGTAATAAAAGAATGTTGAAAGATTAAAAGGCATTAGATACTCAAGCTTATAAGTACACGTACTTATAAGTACACTTTTGTTTTTTCATGTTCTCATTAACTGTAATAAAGCGAAAATCTGTCGTATATGTAATATAAACCCTTCCCTGGTTAAGTACATATTCATACTTCAGGTACCAAGGATAATCGTAACAATAAACAAGTTTTTAAGCAAACAGTAAAAGAAATCTGCTTGATCTAGAATAGATTATAGAATATAAAACATCTGGGTATGTTTTGTCGTATCCGGTAAAATATTTGTGTATCAACACTTACGCTACACAACAATAAAAACTACACGTTTGGTATTATAAATCGATAATGTGGCTAATAATACATCGCCTTTGGAAGATCAATGAATTTCATTTAAAAAAGAACAAAAATAATCATATAATTAGAATATAACCTTAACAGATAGTCAAATAAATGATTTTTAAACTAGACAAAAAATTTCTATTTAAAAAGAATTTCTTCACATCATATACGTACCGTTTTAAAGCGCCGAAACGTATAATTTAAAAAATATAATTACTTCGAAACAATAAAATCTTCAAATTGTGAAACATACGAAACAGGTCGTTGATCGTAAAATGTGTAAAAAGAACTATAATAGCATTGAGAACAAACCTGTACGTTACATGGCAGATATTGCTAATGGCTAAAGATAGCGGAAAGCTAGCTATGTAGGAACGTATACTATTAAGTAATCATACTTAAATATTGGCGCAATAGTATAATCTCTTACCATATAAATCAGTATCGCGTCAATACCTAAATACCTGACGAATATAATGTATGTCCCAATTTATTATATATAATATTCGGGATACACAGTAGTACTCCTATGTTAATTCGAAATCTTTAATTTCGGTGATATGTGCAATGCAAAAAAATATTGTTCTCTGTTATTTCCTGAAAGCAGTGCACTTTATGTTTATTGACTTGTGATCAACTATCGGACGAACGAATTATGCGATATTCAAAGGATTCGTACAACAATTTTTAAAAGCTGTATTTAGTTTCCCTTGCAGCGTGAAACAAACGATAAACTGTGTGTATCCGTTAATATTTATAGAGAAATATACTACTGTGTATCTCTCGTTATAAATCAGTACATATTCATTACAATCACAATACGCATGACATCCTATGCAGAAGTTCTGGTCAAAATGGAGTAGAGAACTTGTACTATGGTAAGACACGAATCGATGGCGCATAATGACAGGAAGGATAATTCTAGCTGCATAATCCCGAAGGATCGACCAGTCCACGGGCGATCAATTCGGCCGTTGCAGGATCGCTTCCTTGTTTACCACTCGAATGCTGAGATGGCGTTTGCTGCGCGTGAGGTTCGAAATGGGAACGTACGTGGAACATAAATTCAGCCTTATCTGTAAAATCTGTACGGCACATAAGACAGAAATGCCTCTCAGATGCGTATGCTTGCGGAGGAGCTGTAGATCCCGGGAAATATGGTGCTGCATGTTGTGGCGGAGCCGATGCTTCCAAGTGAGAACTGTAACAGAAGATGTTCAATTACACAACAATAAATTATCAAACAATTAATGATGATGTATGTATTTTGAGATAAATACGTTCATTACGAACAGTTAGAAATATGTTCTTTCTATTTTCTTTTCAATTATTTATAACATTTTTCCCAACATATCGAGAATTAAATATTGCTAAATAATATAATTATATTACTTATATATTCCATGAATTTCTATATTGAAGCTATTATAATAATTGCGTACAAAAATTTTTCAAAATTTCTTATACGCTAATGAATATTGTATTTAATAAAAGTATCTTCTATTAATAAATATTATTTCTCTTATATTGAAAATATTGTTCTGGAATAAAATTTTAAATATTTATATTTACTACTACAGATGTAAACATAAACAGAAATTACCGAGCATGCTGCATCCATTCATCTCTTGTGGCTAATGCTCGACCGCATAATTCACACGCCCAACTAACTGGTTCTTCCTTCAATTTGTGTATAGTATCCTGCCGAGATTGTTGCTGCTGCTGCGGTTGTTGTGCTTGTTGCTGTTGTTGCTGAGCTTGTTGCTGTTGCTGCTGTTGTTGCTGCTGTTGATCCGAATTCGGAGCTGTAGGTGTAGAAAGTGGCGCCACTCCCGGTCTGTGTCTCAACTTGTTCATATGAATAACTAGTTTATCTCTGCGGGCAAATGCTTTACCTAGAAGCAAAAGCCGTAACATCAGTTAAACTCAAACAAGTACATAAATTATCGTACAATGTAAAGCAACAGTTTAGACACACTTACCGCAAACTTCGCAGGAATACGGCTTCTCCCCTGTATGAATACGCATGTGAATAACGAGCTTATCCTTACGAGCAAGACCTTTGCCACAAACGGTGCAAGCGAACGCCTTTGTCGCCGGTTCACCTGTATTCGTGGCCTTTGACGCAAATCCCGGGCGAGACGTTATATTGTTTGTAGTTCTTAATGGCTGATTTACTGTAGGGGCTCTACTCCCAAACTGCTGATCCATTGCACCAGGAAATGGAGGCATTACACCACCAGGGCGCATTGCTGCTGAATAATCTGGAGACCTATTTCGAATTTTGCAATCAATATTTTAACATTTATATTCTGACAGATAATAATTACTGTATCTCTTATTATAAAAAAAAATCATTCCAACGAATAGCATAACAATCTCACTTCTTGTAAGATTTGACACTAGCATAAAAGGAAAACTTACCATGTTCCGATAGAGCGGAGTACGCGTACACCATCGTCATAACCCAAACCATCGTCGGGTAAGGTAAAGGTTGGATTAGGTGTCTGAGGTGTCGCAGGTGGACCAGGGCCAGCAAGCCTCGCTTGTGCAGCTTGTTGTGCCATATGTTGCTGTACTGCAGCATGAGCCACGGCATGCGCTTCCACATAAGCCGATCGCTGTTGTTGCTGGCTACCATTAGACATCTTGTCCTTATCAGTGCCCTATTAATTATTGTTTTATTGTTGCATTATGTTTTGTACCAGTATAAGTCGTTTTTGAGAAGGACAGGCGCCTTCTTAAGTTTTCATCAAATTTTTTCTTTGATTAGTCATTGAAACACAGCAAATTAGATGTTAATTCGTAGATGATAAGAGATTAACTGACCTTACCAATTTTTACTTTTGCGGTAATTTGAAAAATGCCCACTATCAGGTATTCTGCATATTAGTAGCTCTTAACAAGCATATTTATATAATTTAACTATTTTTTCAACAATTAACAGTATAACCTACAGTAGCAACTTCTTAAATTAATAAAATTTTTATTTTTTAAATATTTCTATAGCGATTTGTAGATCCCGTTATGGTGGATATGCGATAAAAGGACCTTTAACTATCATATCAGCTACAAGATAAGATATATAAAGCTTTTTGTTAAAAACTTAAAGCGGTTAAAAAGAACTGATGCAAGGAGATCGATTTATTTCAAATTTCGAACTGGACTTTCTCAGAAATGTTGCTATCACGAATTATCAATTTAGTTGAGCAACATGCGGATCACGCTTCCAGAGATATCTTGGTTGTATAAAAATACGAGATTAATTAGGTTAATAAACTCGATTCGTATTAAAACAATCATAAAATATAAGATTATGTAAAATCATAAAAAAGGAGATTGTGGTTAAATTTATCATAAACGATGGAGAAACTAAGTAAGTGGGAAAAATGGACAGATGTATTACGATTTTCACTAACTGATACTTGTCACAATGTTTGGGACAATGGTCATTGTATTAGTAAAATATATTTGCAAAATACAATTATCGACACAATGCGTTTATTTGATTGTAAAATTGAAGGAAATCTATAGGAATGAACAGCATTTTGCGACATTTCTATCAATTCGAGCACAAAAGCGTAACAGCTTCGAAACCGATATGGGAAAACGATTAATCACGGGAACTGAGCTGAGCGGAGCATGCACGAAGCCGCACTCGGTGCCAAATATCTATTAACGATAATCGATATTTACCAGAAACTGAGTTTCAAATAATTCTTCAGCTAAATGGAACGTATTCGATTCCTTGTGAACTGATGTGAAACATAATTAACGCTTTCCAGAAATGAAAACTTCGGAGGAATATCTTTTTAAGTAAAAAAAGTGATGGAAAAATTGGTCATGCAATTTCCTCTAAAAAAACACTAATTGTTGTGATAATTGATGAAGTTCTCCTAATAACGAAGCATTAAGCTTTTCAAAAGTAAAAATTTTTTAAGGAGAATTTTAGAGACAAAGTTCAAAAATATTTTTCGAACTGATAAGAAAATTCAAGTTGCATAATAACGTTCAAAAATCACTAATTATCCGAAGCAATTATTGAAATCGATCTCGACGAGAATTTAAGTAGTAAATTCTCCAAAAATTGAAACGTTTTGTAAAAGGAATTCTAAGGAAAAGTTATAGATATTCAACAAGCTGATTAAATAGTGAAAATCGTGCAATAATCTCTAAAAGCCACTCGTAGGAATACAAGAATATTGAATATTTAGTTGTAAATTGCTGATGATTAAAAATTTGCATAAAAACCGGGGAAGACTCTAATATACTATAAAAGAAGCTGTCGAGAAATCAAAATTTCGTCCACGTGACGCTGGTTCGCGACACGAAGGTATCGGAACAAGCCGGAGAGAATGGTCGTATCGCCGAGAAGCATCACAGAAGCCTGTATCCCCCAGAGACGACATCGAATACATAAAAGACAGGGACTTTCGAAGGAACCGAAAAGATCTGTTCGCGTAGCCTGCTCCGTCAAGGTCCTCCGGGAAAGAACGATGACCGAAACGAGAGAGACAGGAAACGAGAGTGAGGGAAGAACGACCGGGAAGACGAAAGAAGGGAAAGAAAGAAAGAAAAAGAGAGACGGAGAAAGAAGTTAGCTTACAGAAAGGCAGACACGAAGGTTCCCACAAAAGACGAGCAAACGCTATCGGGCTGATCTCCCGGCTCACGTACCTACACACACTTTGTTCCCCTGCAGAGGCCGAGGAAAACCGCACGGTCCCAATCGACTCACTGGGTCGGATGTCCTCGAGGAAAGATATCACTGACACCGTCACAAGGCGAGCAACTCAACGGCACATCACATCAGTGTCCATCGCGCGTCGTCATGCCGCCCGTTCTGCTGGGAGTTTCCGAACTGGGTGAAAAAAATTGAGCGACCACGAGGCTCGTCGTCCAGACCGGAGGTGGCTGGTAGAGACCAGAACACGTTAGCCTTAGACTCCGATAACGAAGAATTTTTAACGCGACAATGACGTTGAGAAGAACAACGGAAACTCTATGACCACGCGCGTTCCTTCTTTTCGCGACGCCACGAAAGAATCTCGCGTTTTACGGGGCAACCAGAGTGTGTCCCGCGGAGCTAGCCGCCGATTCCCGGCGCGGGAGGATGCAAGGACAAAGAGACGAAAAAACGTCTGGTCGAAGCAGAGGGGATAACCCTCTAGCGAGAGAGTGAGGAAGGGAAGGAGAACAGAGAGGGTAAGAAGAAGGAAAGAGAGCAACGACCAGTCGACTGGAGAAAGAACGAGCTATATTCAGAGGGAACGAGGGAAACGAAGGCGACTAAAGAAAAAACCGGAGAGAAAGAGGGACAGAATGTGTATGTGTGTGTGTAAGAGAGAAAAAGGGGAGGGAGAGAGAAAGGGAGAGATGAGATAGCCGGTGACACACGGATGCAGCGCGGCGTAACGATATCGAGTGGAGGTCTCCACGGAATGCACCGTGGCGATGTGCTGTGGAGAGCAAGACCACACAGGGTGCACCGATCGGACGAAGACAAAACAAGGAGGAAGAGGCGGAGGGAAATGGAACGGCGACACTCGGGTTATGGAGCCAAGTATGCGCGAACTTGGTATAAACGGTTCTATTCGATCGGTGAGACTAAGCGCGTCCCGGTGAGCAAGCGAAATTGGCGCGACTAGGTGCGGGAACAAGCACCGAGCGATACTGAACCGGTAGAAGGGAAAGAAGAATAGGCACGGGAGAAGCGATATGCGGACGAGACGGCGCGGTGCAACGATATCGAGTGGAGATCCCCGCGGAATGCATCGTGGCTGGCGCGACGACGAGAACACGCGAGAGAGAGACAGAGACAAAGAGAGAGAAAGAAACAGAGCGAAAAAGAAGGGGAGATTCGGAGAGCGAGAACGAGAGGAAGAAAAAAGGGAAAGAGAAAGAGAAAGGCAGGGACGCCCTAGAGAGGCAAGTATGCGCGCGAAGAGACCTTCGTGTATACCTTGTGTCGTATACACAGACTACCGAGTCACTCGCTTGCCGGATACACACAATGACGGAAGAGAGTAGCGTAGCACCAGTCGACGGCGGCGTCGGCGGCGGCGCTCTGCAGTGCGTCGGCCCGCTGACCTTGACACTGACATTGACTAAGCGAGCGACTGAAAGAGAGTAGGAGAGGACAGAATCAAATAGAAACAGGCAGATAAGGAGACAGAGAGAGACTAGAAGGAGTGACGTATCATTGGATGGTACATATGCGCGATTAGGCTAAACTAAACACGATACATAAACGCGAGCAACCACCTAGCAGTATATAAGTACCGTTCGCTTCCTCTGCTTTCTTTGCTCCCTAGCTCTCCTCGGTTGACCGCATCAACGATCAACCGGGTAACGAGACTTCGTCGGCCGTTTACGACGGGGTATTCCAGACCTCGAAACAGGTTTTCAGAGGTGTATAGGTCTGCTCCTCGTTGCACCTGTGCCCGGGACAAGGAGATCCAACGGGCCAACTAGCAAGGGAAGGGGATCGAACAATCTTGGATTGGGGAGCGACGAGACGCGTAGTGGAATAGAGACAGAGAGGAGCTGGTGAAAGAAGGACAGGGGAAGGGTAGAAAAGAAGACGAAGGTAAAGGAGAGAAGGGAACGGAGACGTTGTACCCGTGAACGGAAAAGAGTGAGAAAGAAGGAACTAGGCGAGACGTCGAAGAAAAGGAGAACTGACTTTCGCTTTCTGTGCGCGACGCAGCCTAGCTATGGAGAGTCGATCAATAGCGCCGCGACGGTTGCACACACGTATACACATATAGGCACACACATGCGTACCTTTTACAAACCCTCTATCCCGACTGGTCGCGTGATCTGTCTCTCTTTTGCCCTATCTGTTCATCCGTGTCTGCTTATCTGTATATTATCCCCTCCAGCTGGGTTCTCTGCACGAGGAGTCGCGTGTGTGAGGGTGGAATTATTGGGATCATGCTTCGTTGGCTAAGCAAGGGGTGCGAAGGAGGAACAGAGAGAGAATCAAGGACCTCGAGCTACCGATCAGCGACGCCCCTCGTTCCCTCTCCTTTCTTTTAGTCGGTTGCACGGTTTCGCATGGCCCTCTCTCACCCTCTTCATCTGCTGCGGTCTCTTCTCGCGCGCACGTTCGTACGCTTATCGAGCATAGTACAGAGCCGAAATCGGCACGAAAGAAGGTGGAACGGAGAGACAACACTGGGCAGAGGTGGTAGAACGCGAGCGCGTGTCGCGTAAAGGGCTTTTTACGCCGCTCGAAATGTGGAACTCGTGTCGGCCACCCATTCGACGCATAAAGTCACTTTAACGCGTCATGTCGGAAATTGCCACCCGAGTTTACGAGCTTGTAAAGAGTCTCTGGTACTTCCTAGAATACGTACGACCCCCATCGTACGGGGATAGCCTGATTCCTTCTGGCTATTCGTGTCCGGCTCGTACAACGATAAATTTTCCAATGTTGCTCTGGAAAAAATTCTTGCTCTCTCTCCCTCTTTTCTCTTCGTCGTTGCCTCCACGAGATACCATGAGCTTTATGTCAGACCTTTAATCTACCTTTATTAAGCGCGCTGTCTCCTCCATTTGTAAGGCACTTGCTCCCAGTCGTAAACCACGTGCTCTCGCGAGGATATTAAACGCGCCTGATGTGTCTCATGAAATCAATTAAGAGCAAATAAACTGGTGCTCCATAAACAAGTATTCCTACGAGTTGCTCGTTTGTTGCTATATTTAGTGGTAACGTTATAAATATACTTTTAACTAGACTTCTTGTGTTTAAGTGAAGTATACAGACGTACCATTCATGTGAGCAGAATATACATTTTTCTTTTTATAGATTAAAAAAGGGTCATATTATACATATAATTTAATCTGTTATTTTTAACTATATAATTTAATGTCGTAGATAATAATAAGCATTGGTCGTTGAATGATGTGAAAATAATAATGGGATGTATAATTATTGTTTTGGTATTAAAGATATTGAAGAAACAGTAACATGTGTTTTAATGTATAACTTTCAAGAAATTAGTGAATGTTTGTTTTTGGAGAAATTAATTTTTGAGAACATTTTGTTTATTATTTTGAGTCATGCACTATTATATGCATCCATAAATTTATATATAAAATAAATTTAGATTCCGGTTGAACCTTTGTCAGTAAAACACATAAATACATGTCAGTAAAACAAATAAAAGCATACATAGATTATTACCTATTCATTTTCTACGTAATATAAAAATCTTATATTTGTTATTTATTTTATAAAATATCTAAATTATTATATAAAAATTTAAATAATTATGCTGCATATTTCTAAATTTGTTTGCAATAATATTTCTATAATAAATATTATATTCTAAATTTATATTTACTTAGCTTCTAACATTATAAATCAAAATGAAAATTTCGTATGTAAAGAATTAACACCCATATTTAGCTTAACTCGTTTATGCATATATTAAATAATCTGATTTATGTAAAATTAAAATTATTTCAACAAAATTAGAATTAAAGTTCGTTCATGCTTTTCTCACACTACACAATGGGAGAAATTTTATTTGTAGCTTTTCATTCACGAATTACTTAAATTATTAATTGTTAATTAAATGAATTACAGATTAATTTAAACATTTAGACTTACCTGGTTTACAGATGCAGCGAGGTGCTTCAAACTGTCCGCGTAATTTTTTAACACAGTATCGGTCGTCATGCAGCTCACCCGAAACTCGTAAAACATATCCAATTTGTATACGCATCTCTGACAAATATTTTTGGGCAAAGCGTCCTCTTTCGTTATCTGTGATAATATTATTGGTTGAATATTTTGTTTGTAGAAAATATAATCTCCAATATGTATATAAACATGTTAGGTTATATATGTTTGAAGTAGATATCCATACGCATTATAATATTTTGTTAAAGAAATATAAATATAAATAAATATATATATAACATAGTAATTGAAGTGAAATTCAGGAAATAAAATTACAACAGTATATTTATATTTCTTTAACAAAATATTATAAAGCGTATGAGTACCTAATTTAAGCATATATAACTTAACATGTTTGACTTGTCATAATTAACATTTTTAAAATAAATAATAATTTTAAATTGTTGAAAGGTTTTCGGAGTTACTATATATCTCCCTTTCTTGTAAATAGTCAACTTTTACTTCTTAATTGCCCTTATTAGTATTACAATTAAGAAATATCACAATAACCTAAAAAGTGACTTATATTGATTATTATATGTAAAAAAAGTCGTGTAATAATTATAAATGTCAAAATGTAAAATCATTAAATCGATACATAGTCTAAGTTGTAATTGTTGAAAATTTCTGTATTTGTAAACTAAAAAACAGAATTATTATGACAGACCATTTAAAAATTAGTTTGCGATTCTTCTTTTCAAAATAATCAATGAAAGTTCGTATTACTTTGTGAACACTTTTGCTTGCTATTTCATTCAATATTTTTACGGCATAAACTTCTAATTAGAGCAATGATAAAACGTATTGTAGCAGGTTTCTACAGTTCTCTATTTCCAATATCCTATACGCACTCGTTTTAACATAACGTTGTAACATAATGTTTACCAAAGAGACAAATATTAGTTAAATTTAGCAATAAAGACAGTAAATCTTAACTAATTTTACAAATACAACAAGAAATATGACTTACTACAGCAGGAATGCAGGAGCGTATTTTAAAAAGTAATTGTCTCTGTTCGCCTTCTTTGTCGAATATTTGAAGCTGGTGATTGCTCTTCAACGAACATAATCTACACAATTCAGTGAAACTGAAATCTTCGTTCATTGCCATTCTTATGATTCACGATTAAACACAAACGCTGAACAATTGTTAGGTTATAATGTCTGTGAGGTGTATTTCCACGCACTTTTTCGAGACAACGAAGGTTAGCGAGAAAGTGGCACAGAATTATTATTCGTGAACGTATCGAGAAATGAAAGTTGGTTAAAATTTTAAATATTAAAAAACTAGAAGTTTCTAACAAAATTAAAGTAACGCCACCATTTCTTTCCTGCCGTTTCACTGTTGTTCAGCGTGCAGAATGCCTGATCCCACATTGCGCGAAGCTTGACCATCTGGTGGGTGGAGAAGGTAACAACAAAGGGTTGCGTATGATGGTAAAACAGGTAGAAACAGCAACGAGAGCAGCAAAAGTTTTTAAATAAATTATTTGACTAAAATTAAAAAACTGTGATTATTTATTTTACTGATATACTTTTATTTACACAAATACTTTTTTTTATATAAAGACATATTAAAAAGTATTTGTACATAATTGGAAAAATAATATCACTAAAAAATGAGTACAAATAACATTGATCATAAGTATAAAATAATCTAAAACAAGAATATTGATTTGAGATTTTAGTAGATAATATATAAATAATTTATGTAATCGTTTATGTTCGTAACATGAATTCATATTCCATAATTGCACGAATGTATTATTTATTAATAACGAAAGCTGCAAGCATTGCAAAGTTCAGTATAAAAACCGAATATATGAGAGTTTTCCTACTAATTTCTGCGAAGAGATTTGGTTTGTGCACAAGATTGAGAATACTGAAATAAATATTAGAATATACATATACAGAAATAAAATACTGGCATTATGTCTCCTAATAATAGACAAACTGATAATTTTAAAGAAAAAGTTCGCAGTAATTTTTATAAAATGTGGTGTTATTACGGTTGTGCAATTATATGGATTATTTTTGGTTTATACGTGTCTCAAACCGAGCTATTCTCGAACAAACTTATTAGTAAAATAACCGAGGTAAGATCCAACTGTTATATTAATTTAAATATTTATATTCGTGATATTAGAATATTAACTTCTTCATTGTTATGAAACCATACATTATATCAATATTTTTGTATAATGTTTCTTTCGAGATGATGTTATTTTTCTTTTTTTGGAGACTGAATTTACTATGTAAAATAAATTTTCGTATTTTACAAAAAATGGTTCTTCGTTTTAATGAAAATTGAATAGTATGAACACCGTTGGAAAAGTTGCAAATTATAATAAAATTACCTTTCAATCATCCTTTTAAAACGATGACACATTTGAATTCAGTATAATAAAAGTTCAAACATTGCTCTTTCAAGATATGATATAATTCGCTCAAATTAGAAATTTGTATAATGCGTATAAGTTACACAGAATTTACTCATGTAAAATAACAATTTACAGGCATTATCACTGCGTGAAGATTCAAAAATATACAAAGCATGGAAGTCACCTATGCAGTTAACTTTTACGTGTCATTTCTTCAATGTTACCAATCCCGATGAAGTGATGAGTGGAAGTAATCCATATTTCAATGAAGTTGGTCCATTTACTTATGAGTAAGAGATTAAATTGAACGAAAGTACTTACGTTGTACGTCTCGTGTATTAAATTTTAATGAAATTTATATTTTTCTAGAAATGCAATTGTATTTATTGTTAACATATTGTTTCGAATACGCTATTTTGTCATACGTCATGTTTTATATTTCTAATTTATGTTTGCTAGTTAGTGTATTAATTAGGAAATATTATAGTATCGTAAAGATATTATATCTTGGAATATTTTAGATGAGTAATATCTTAAAAAATGTGTTTATCGTTTAATTTTAGTTAATTATTTGAATACATATATACCGTAAATATTTGGATCTAATAAGTTTTTAAATATTTATCAATCCTTGTTAATTCGTTTTTTAACATGTATATTATAATACATTTAGTGAAATACTCGAGAAACAAATTATAGATGTGGACGATGCGATGGATGAAATTACATATACAACAAAGTCTATGTACAGTTTTAACAAAGACTTGAGTGTGAAATTATCTGAACATGACAAAATCACTATATTAAATCCTGCATACATTGGTACCATGTCGATGGCAAGTATAATTGCATACGAAGATGAAAGCTCTATAACTCGGTTTTTAGACACCTTCTATTTAAGTTAAAAAAAAATAACTTCTTAGTTCGACAATAATCGATTACGTAATTATTCAATAGTTTAATATTATTATATTAACACAGAATATCTATAGTAATCTAATATGTAAAATATTGTCCATACGATTTATTTAAACCTTTATCCTTTCGCATACTGAATTATTTAATTACCTTTAACTGTAAATGGTATGTATAATTTTAATTAATTATATTTGTATAGCTCTCCAGCTTACCTGCTGGATATATAGAAAAATATGGTAATAACATACCGAAACTATTTCCAAACCGTAGTTCCATTTTTCTGAAAGCTAATCCTAACGATCTGCTTTTCAATGGAATTAAAGTTTCGTGCGATTTAAGAAAATTCCCTGAATTGGATGTGATATGCAAAACATTAGGCAGTAATCTGCCACAAGTGTTGAGAAAAACCGACAAGCAAGATGTTTATCTACTCAGTATCTTTCAGAGGGTAAAAATTGTTTGCAAAAACAAAACATGCAACATATTTTTGTATTTTTAATACTTTGTCATAAAAATTTTTATTAAAAATTCTTTACATATTTTAATAATAAGTTTCCAACATTTTCTACTTTCAAATTTAGACAATAATGTCAAGGAATGCAGGAATTATTCAGATATTTTCATAACAGCTAACAAAATGTTTCATGTTTCTAAGGTGTTCGAAAAATATTCATAGTAATATTTAAGTAAATGCGTATATAAATAATACTAATTTTCCCAATTGGTAGATAAACGCTACTTTTCGTGGGCCATTTTCTGTTAACAGAGGTGTTAATGATATAATGAGATTAGGAGATATAACATCTTATATGGGAAAAAGAAAACAAAAAATATGGAACTCTGAAGATTGTAATATAATAAGAGGAACTGACTCAATCATTTGGGCACCATTAATAAAACCATTGCCTTTTGTTTCAACGTTTATACCAGATTTATGTAGGTACGACATTATTTTTTAAAGTATTACTAAAAACTTTATGCACATTCTCATGTAATACGAAATATTATTTCTTATAAAACTTTTAAACCATGTATTTTTTGTATCTGATATCAGGAAGAAAGAAATCTTGAGAATAGAGAAATAATTATTATTCAAATCTTTTATCTTGAAATTTGTTGTTACTTCATTACACTGGCTAACTGTTAAATAAAAATAACTTTATTTAAGTTAATATACCGTATCAGTTATCAAGATGTATGTGTAGAACAATCGAAGCGGATTATAAAGATGAAATTTCGGTACGAGGTTTAATTGGCTCACGATTCGTCATGAAGGAAAGGACATGGTTTTTAAACACGACGCAGTGCTATTGTTTATTAGAAAATAAAATACCAAAATGTTTACCACAAGGCTTAATCGATGTCTGGGAATGTCAGGTAACATTATAACAAAATAGAAATATCTTCCTTTAATTTAAGATTTAATATTATTACAGAAACTGCCGGTAATCTTATCAGAGCCACACTTTTTACACGGTGATCCACAGCTGTTGAAGTACGCAGGTGGTTTAAACCCTGATGACAGGCTGCATGAAACTTACATCATTATCGAACCATATACCGGAACGCCTCTTTCTGGACAGAAAAGGATGCAACTAAATTTATATTTGGGAAAACAGTCAGTAGAGTTGCTTTCAAATGTCAGCGAGGGATATTTTCCGCTTATATGGTGCGGAAATGTAAGATCCTTCAAGACAGTTCCTATCATTTTATCTTGTTTACTAAACATATATGATTTCACTTACGAAATGCAATTGATTAAAATTATACGGTTCAATTCTCAAGACATATCGTTTATTATGAATTTATTATGAATATTATACTTATATTATATTGTATTTATTATGAATAGCGAATGTGGTAGATTTTTCGATTTCAAAGTTGGCACCAGAGTATTTCGCGAATGATAATAAGAAAAGAACTTTACTAAAAATTGAATTTATTATGTTATGTATGTATTTGTTCGTTTTCTTTAAAAATGAAAGTATGATAAACAAGAGTAAAAATATAATGGAATAATATTCGGGAATCTTAGAGACCAAAAAATTAATTCCCCTCGACGGATTCATAGTTGTGCTTGATATTTGTTCAATCATTATATTGTGCAATAAAATAATATTGAATTAACATTTATCCATCAGTAGGCAGGGAATTTAATTTCATAGCAACGAAGCTGATTTGATTCAATATATTTTATTCACTTTTCATTCTTAAGAAAGTCTGATATTTCGTCGTCATTGGAAAATTCTGACAAAGAAATTGAATAACATTATACATTTTTACAAACAGATGTTAATTTATGAATACAATCTTTCATTACATCATAGTCCAGATCACATCAAAATGTACAAAATATAATTACAATTTTTCTCAGATATCGATAGACGAACTAATTGTCTAATAAATATTTTACAGGGAAACACGCCAACGTTAGAGATTATAGGATTCACATATCAAACTCTTCGTCTAATAAAAATTTTTCGATATATAAACACAATTCCTTTGATGATTGGAATTCATTTGACTTTCGTCGCTGTAATGTATTGTAATTGTACAAAACGCAAAACACAACCAACATTTGCAGAGTCGTTACTAATATCATCAAATTCACGATCCGATAATATCGCACAGAGACCCTCACGTGCACAAGCATTTGAGGCATTTCAATAAATGCACACTACAGTTCATAAGTATTGTGAAAATTTAGTTTAGTTTAGTTTAGTTTCTTTTTACAGCTTAACCATTAACAAACGTAGCAATACTACATTCATTTGGTTATTAAACATGTATACGTATTACATGTATGTAAACATTATTTGTATTGACATCCAAAGGCTTTTTATCAAGTTAGAAAAATCATGTTAATCCGACTTACAAGTCAAAAATTGATTTGAAAATAAAAAGCTTCTCAAATAATAAAATAATTCTGAAAGGTTTGACATTTACAAATGTCAGTTTTGTTATTGCGTGTTACCATTTACAAGCAAATTTAATCGCATCATCATATTCTATTATACACAGCCATGTCTATTATACAGAATAAAATCATTACAGTTTGATTTATCCGGAATTTTATGATTAAAATATTAAACAAGTGTTCGGATATTTTTGAACAGTAAACACGATGCTAACGAAGAAAGTTACAGCGCACTAGAGTGTTTAAAAATAATTGATTATTTCTAAAAAATGCATATAGATTTAATGTTTTATACAGTGATAAATTTACAATTTACGATGTTGCATACTATTTACTCTTACAAATTTAATGTAGTAACAGTCGCATCCGTTCGCTTAAATTAGAAATATTAGATTGTTTATTAAAATTTATACACATAGGCAAGAAAATTACTTTTTCGTTTATACAAGTAAATAAATAACTGTATGTTACCTTCTTTTTTAGAAATTTACTACAACTTAAAAATGCGACCACTACTACATTAACAGTAAGTCCACGAACGCTAATCTACTTTATTGCTAAACTCATTTCAAAGCGTACTATATAGTTTAAAAAATATTGTATCTCTAGCTTGTATATTTACAATGAATATAATACACCTATCTGTTTATCCTCTTTAAAATTAGATACGCTTTCTCGATTTTTCTTCCATTACGATCTAATCTTATGATCACTAAATTAATTATAATACTTCACGATTTTACAATATTCTTTAAATTACAAGAAATCCGTAAATTACAAAAATGCTTAAGTATAACGCAGAGATAAATACACAATGTACACGAATACTCTTAAAAATAAATACTCCATGGGAATGTGAATTACGTTAATGATAAATAATGATAGCTAATATGTCACGATTACTGTACAGATATTCGACAGCGTCTTAAAAAAGATCTAATCTTAATAATTTCATACATTCACTTCTTATCGAATTTCTATCATTAATAATCTATGCTAACAAATAATTTTTGTACAAAATCGATTTTTATATCGTATACACTTATACGTACACGTTTTTTACATAAATTATTATAAAAGTTTCTTTTACAAATTTCGCGATCTTTAATTTGTATTCTACGTCTGATAAGTAGGTATCACATATATTGTATATCGTAAGACTATATCACAGTTCATAAGTATTAGAACATTAACGAAAAACTAGAACTTAAATAGTTATAAAGAAATTATTAGAACCATTAAGAATTACTATCTCATTAAAAATCTTACATCGTAAGGAACTCGTATATGAAACATTAAAATAATATCCTCGACAATTATCTCAAAAATTTCTTTCGTGTCATCATTTTTCCTGTTACATTTATTGTTATCTGATTCTATGAATACTATATATTCTTAAAATTAGTTCTTAAAATAGTTCTTAAAATCAGATTTTGGCCAGAATTTCCTACTTATAATAATTTCATTTCAAATTTTTTCAATGAGCTTTTAGTTAGTTTTTGTCAGCCCCATTATGTGTCTTGGATCATTATCTTGTGTGAATACAAAATTCGGTCCTTTGAATTTGAAAAAGATGAAGTAATCGTTTTTTCGATAATCTACATCAAATATTAATTTTCGTACGGAACGAGCAGTATTCTGATACTTATGAACGTGTTAATTTTACATTAAGTCCTTTTTGCATATGCAATTATAAATAGATTTAGGTCATTACGTTATTGATACAATTTGATTATATCTATGACGGAGATCCATGAACCGGATACTAACGCTAAGAGAGAAAATATTAAAAGTACACTGTTCTTCCAAAGTCTCCAGTTATACTTACCCAAGTGGCCATCCCAGCACGAAACTGTTTCCACGGTTGCTGGGATTGCGATGCCAAGGATGGAGAAAAATACTGAACCGACTAGGGAAATAAAAGGTTCGAGTTTTGGAACCAGACATGCCACAGCAACTGAAAGGAAAAGAAATTGTTAAATAAAACTCTATAAACAAAAGTCTATACACTGAAACATTTAAAATACGTACTTATTGAAATATATAAGAGAAAAGTATAATTTGTTCGTCTTGATATTTCAAAGTTTATTATAAATACACTTGTCGTTCTTCAAACCAAAAGAATAATCTACGAAGGGAGGCAACATTCTATGTTTTGCAATTCTTACATAATAGTCGTCGCAGAAAAATTAGCTAACAAAAATAAAAAAATTTAATGATTCGTTAAAAAATTCAAATTCATATATATGAAAATTCTATGCATTCAATTTAAATATCGAACATAGAGAAGATTTTAGGTATTATATTGTAAAGTATTATGAAAAAATATATCGGAATTTAAAAAAGCTGCGAGAAAGTTGCGTGTAGCGAATACTACGTAGAAATCAGTGAACTGGTGTATTTAAATTCAGTTGTTTGACAAGCTTATTAAGTAACATCACAACCGAGGGAAATCACAGCTTGCATTATAAAGAGACAGAGTTATCGCGTCGAAAAGTCGAAACATCAACAACGTAAACAGCAAGGACGTGAATATCAAAGTGGTAGATCCTCAATGAATTAAATGCGAACGAGTCATTGAACGGTTAACAGTGAGTCATGCGGTTACGAAGCCAACAAGTATTCCCCTAACCCGGTCTACGTCTTTCTATTGCAATTCACGTTCCTCTCTTACTTCCTTAGGAAAATAACACACATGTCTGGTACACACTCAGTGGCGTAAACCGGTAATAACCAGAAGGGTAATCACAGCTTGTTATCTCGGCAATATCAAAACGTTAATCCTTTTATCGTGACTCTGCTTAATAAGAACAATTTGTTGCGAAAAAAACCACATGGAAAATGACAGCAATTTGTGATTTAATTGCATCTTAGGCTCTTCCTGTCAAACAGTGTCGACATGTTCTACGAGTAAAAATAAGTAAGAGAGGGAAGAACATATTGCGTCTTGTAACTATATAACTAGTAAAAAATCGTGTACATATGTATCGTAATAAATTGAAAAGTAGAGGAAACTAACGTTACAAATATTCTTTCTTAACAATTGACCTTAGAATTTATCATCGTTTCCGTCATTTTCCTCAAAATCCGTTTGTAGGAAATTAGTTCAAGTCTTCTCAGATTATAATTGTTTGGAAATGAAAGCAACTTACTTGTAAACAAAGCTATGAACATTCTTATCGCTGTTTCAGATATTCTTTCATATTTATGACTGAATTTCTCTTTCATTAATTTCCATATTATATCGATTGGCACGGTAAATTGCAATCCGTAGGTAAACAAAACCGCTAGAGCGATAAGTAGTTTCACCATCTGTCCTGGGCTGTAAAACAATATATTGGCTTATACAAATTTTATTTCCATTTAAGAGCATTTAAGAACATTTAAATATTGTGTATAAAATTATGATAAAGTATCCTCTATGAAAAATTCTGCGAATTGTAGATACCTCGAAAGCTATCCATATGTGTAATATTAAACTCCAAGAATACAATCATAAATTTTTTCCTCGTGAATAATTACGTATATTTCATGTTATAAATCATTTATAAATTGAAATTTATTTAGAAATTTGATTAAGTGAATTTTAAATTGAATTTAGAAAATCGTGATTATTTTATTCAGAATTAAATATTTTACTCTAATTCGTAAATCTTTATTGAATTGAAGATAAATAACAAATAGTAATGTTTCATATACGTATACAGTATACACAATAGATTATCTACTTTTTGAATTCAATTACAAGCAACTTAATAAATATTTGATTCGTAATCGTACTTACATTTCTGTTATTGGTATGTTCAGCGTGATAGTTGCGTCAACTGCTTCCCCGTATTTCAAATAACCGAATACACCCAGTGTAGCGTATAAAGCTACCACTATAGTCATCGTTATATTCAGGACACCCGGGCAACCAAGAAAATGTTGCGGATTCCGCATGCTGTTTTCAACAGGCATCACCTAAGAAATTAATCTTTTTATTATACCATTACGAAATCTATAAAATTCTATATTTATAAAATTCATACCACTATAAATGAAATGAATAAATTTGAAAGCTTTCAATTTCAATTAACTTATCACGATAAAAAACTTTGCTACATATTTTAATTAAATGTCCTGGACTTCGAATCTGTATTAAGATTTTTGAACTGTATTAAAAACAAAAAGAGCAAATATCATATAAGAATAATATTATTATATCCAGAATGTTGCAGAAATATTTTATTCATTATATAATAATGTTTAAACTATGGGATATTTAAAATTTTGTATAATTAGAAATTAATTCATAAAACCTTCGTACATGGTAATAAGAAGAAAAGACTTATTTTTCCAAACGATACTATCTCATATTTATGCTATGATTTACAGCTATGACTATTTTAACAAACAACTAGAGTTTAGTTATTGTTTCAAACTTACAACGCCGATGCCCTCGATGGCGAATAACACAGTAGCGAAAAATATAGGCAAGTGTTCGACCGGCGCTATCAACTTTATGTTCTGTGGTGATTCAGTTCCACTGAAGATGTAATACAGAGTTATCGCAAAACCGACCAACATGGAAAAGTTGGCCATAATGGAGAATGGTACCAGATACTTCAAATTTCGAATTTGTCCCAGCAGCAACACCGCAGGAATCAACGTGAGTATGTACATGCGAAGAGATATGTCTATGCCGGTGTGGTAGTCCACAACCTAAAACAGAACCACCAATAATTTCGCAAGAAAACTTTTATTACAAAGAGCAAAAATTAGAAACGAGTCATTTTAAATTGAATTCTCAAATTCGTCAAAATCGAATTTGAAACTTCGTGAGGTCTCGAGACTCTTGGAGCTTAGAATACTTATTTTTTCTAGGAAGCATCTATTTTGTCAGGCACTAAGATCTTAATAAATTCATTTATAAAAATTGAAATGATTTAAAATAGAAAATTCAAATTAAAATGTGTGTAAAGCTTATAAAAGTAATAAAATTTAGAAAATACGAAAATTCAATAGAAACTCAGTTTTATGATAATTGTATCCTAGAAATATTTCATTCAAAATCCGCTGTTCATCCAAATTTTACCATAACAAATTTCCATATCGTTTGAGGGAAAAAATGTAACTCGCATAAACTATTGTCACTATTTTATACGATCGTATAGAGCTTTCGTAATTAATCTTTTCGTTTTTATTTCACATTTTACAAGTGGATCACGATATTTGAACTGAAAAGAAATGAAATATTGCAGATAAAATAGAATTGATGGGACGTCCTGTCTTATTTAGCGTTGAATCATCCGATTAGTTAGTTACAATCCATTCAGACCGTAATTTTTGTTCACGGACAAGCAAACAAGGTGGACCCTGCAGGTTAAACGAGTCAGAACGAGTCTTGAGGCTACGCGTTGGCACAGATTTTCAATTGTGATCAAGGGAAAAAAGAGAAAGATGCACGTGCAACGATGAACGAGGACAAAGGAAACGAGACGATCGCAGATTAGAGTGGTTTTACAATCTACATTTTGATGTGGTTAAGGAGATGAATATTATTTACAGATTCTATTCGCTTGTAGATTATAGAACAGTAAACATAGAGAGAGAATGGTAGATTATTAATTTGATATATAACTTAATCATAATATCGTACTTACTATGTTATGTTGTTAAAAATAATGTTTGTTAATTCGAATTCTAAAATGGAATTTTTAGTAACCATTACAGCAATATATTATAGCAATATCTTTGCTATTATATTTTGAAACCAAAAATTTTAATTGCTTTTATACGTAGATATTCACAAACAGCACAATGAATAATTATTAGGCAATGAATAATGAAATATGACTAGTTGTCTGAACAAGGAATTATTGTGCATATATTTAAGTAAACTTCCACGTTAATGGCTTATAAATGTAACCGATACGGTGATTCACAGACTACTTGGAAATAGAATGGAAAACTTTTATACTTTTTACAGGGAATTCATAAGGTTTCTTTAACTGTTCAAATACTTTCCTGAATCTGTACATGTATAATTGGCAGATATTAAGAACAGAAACTCAGCATTCACGAAAAAATTTGTCATGTTAGTATTCAACTGTTGATATCGCCTTTCCTATAAACAAATTCCTATATTGTAATGTAAAATTACATTGCAAAAAAAATTACTAAAATATTAATATATCAATGCGGAAATGGCAAAGATATTTTCGCGAGATCAGCACAAAACGTATTAATATAACACTATTTTATGATACAATTAATTATTTATAGTATACGTTGCCAATAACCGATACCAACATAATAAATTATTTTAAATTTCTTCAAATTGGGGAAATAAACGACAAAATGATAATAGCCGAAGCTAATAAATAAATACTCCAATATGAACATTTTTCATTAAAAGAACGAACAATTTCACGTTTATTAATTTGTTAAAGATGAGTAGTAAAAAGGAAGATCCTATTGATCGCAGCGGCAAATTTACGTAGATAGATAAAATTGTTAGGTTGCGAATTTTCCACTCGTTAGTTAAAATTGTGGATAACGAATGTTTCAACGCTGAAATGGCATTATCGGACTGATATTCAAATTATCGGTATCTTTCGAGCACCGACATGCTGTTTCAACACTCGATCCAATTGTCGCATTTTTTAAATATAATTCATTGATATCAATGCTCCACCAGCACTTCAACTATTTGTATATCGGAAATATAATCGAGGCGTATTAATATTTTTAGCGGAATATTGTGTTTTACTGTCTATTTGCGTTTTAAATTTGTCTCAACTTCTACAACTGGTTATCTTTTATCGAACGACTCTTTGGTCAAAGTATATTATTTGCTTTGTTAGCAGGGTATTGTGTACTTATTGTTTCTTTAACTATCACGAATGACAAGTGAGTACAAGGAAACTCGTTTTATATTTTTCTACTGCCATTGTTTTTTTCTACGACTGCACAATATAACAGACTGCTATTATAATAACTGTTGGAAACCAGCGTGTAAGATTTACCTGTTTGATCGAGGTCGATATGAATACCACATAGACGCACGTACCGCCCAAGTAAGTCGCACACAATGCAATATTTACTAATATTCTACTTGCATTCGCGAATGGCCTTAATGTTTTTGGTCCATTGAAAAACGCAGCCTCCGCTGTCTCGGCGAATGTCATCTGTGGTGTTTTCGTTTTCTTGCATAGCACGTGGGACGAACGAACCAGTATGTGAACACAATGCGCGCATATTATACCGATTATTATAGTACCGATTCCACCGAATAACGCTCCGCCATTCTTAACCGCATTTGGCATAGCAAGGATTCCGGTGCCAAGAGACGATTTTAATAGGTGAGCTAGAGCACCGAAGTCTCTGTAACAAGAACAATTTGTATATTTATTATGTTGTACATTTCTCGTGATTTCTTTTTCTAATGATAGTTCTTTTCTTAAACGGTATACTGCCGGTCCAGAGTAATAATAACCAATGACATTATAAAAGAAGTCAAACAAGACGGTAATTAATAAAACTATCTTTTTCAGTTATTTTGTACTATTTCGTATAGTATCAGATACTCTAATTAAATTAAAATAAAATATATTGAATTTACCTATATCGTAACAATGAAGTGTAAACGATGTTGAAATTCACTGGTCAATAGTATGACTAGATTTTATGTTCTGATATGAAGAAAAGATAACTTACGAATTGGTATTTTTCTTATCACGGTGTTCAAAGGGATTGTATAGTTCGTCCTTCTCATTGTATTCTCCGATCATGACAGTAGCTATTTTTGTACTGATCACAGAAAAAATACGTCATTACATTATGTGTCGAAGATACTATCTTGTTTCGTGCCTCTTGATACTATCATATATTTTTCAAAGTAATTCGGAACATGGGAGGTTAAAGTGGACAATTGTATAATATTTTACGACGTAGAAATTTATCAAATGAAACCTTTTATTCTAATTGGAGTACATTACTCATTTATAATCTGTTTGAAAGATCCTATATTTTTCAATTTGGTTATATTTATTTATATTTGGTTATATATATTAGAAGAAAGTAAATGTAAATTCTTTTTTCAAGTACCATACGCAAGAAATATCTAAATATGAAGATTCTATAATTAATTCTAGTTAATCAATGATTATTTATCATTGGAGAATGGGGTTTCATTAAGTTTTAACAAATAATTGACATAAATATAGAACGTGTAGCAACATACACAATACACAGTGCCTTACGTTAATAATGATTGATAACGAAAATTTTATTGAGATTAGAATTATCAATAAAAATTCAAATTCACTTATGAAATTAATGAATTTAATGAAAATTAATACTAATGACATTATCAAAGAGGTTTTACGTCTATCGATAGGAATGATACAATTAATAAAACCTACAAAATTGTCAATTTAAGATAAATTTAATTTGATATTGCACATTTAATTAACGTGAATGAAATTGCGAATAAAACACAAGTTAATCCATACCTGCTATTAAATTCCTGCATAGGACTTTCTGTAGGTTGTGACTTTGTACATTTCCCCATGGTGAATCTAAAACAACATATACACAATTATCTGATTAATATCGCAATATCATTTTACTACATACACGCATAATTTTTAAAATAATGATCTCCGCACCTTAAGACTGCTACTTTTGAATTCTATTCGCCAAAAACTATATTCTATAGTATAAATATGTGCTCCTTTTGTATACGAATATTGTAGATGCTTATAATACTAAAACGAACATGAATAAAACAAGAGAAAGAACAGTTCCTCAACTGTATGCAGATTTTTATCTAAAACTTTCACGAAAAGATTAGGAGTGCGTTCACATATGACCAGTACAAAAAGATAAATTAAATATTTAACATTATATAATACATAATATATCAGTGCCAATATCTAAAAATCTTAACTGTATATATTATACGTCATAGTACTATGCAAATAATACTTTCGATAAAATAGATTAAAACTTTGCGTATTAATTAACTTCAATATTTATGTATCTACGCTCATTACTGCATTTGTCCTAATTAAAAAGCACATCAGATTTCCAAAAGTATTTTCTAGAATCACAATTAATACATTTGCTACTAATCTTCGATATTTTATCGATCATATACAGGAGCGATTAAGATAGAATCTCTGTAAGTTGAATTTCGTGGTAGCAATATTTATATCGTTAAAATAGATAATCAAACCAGCAATGATTAAAATCTATACGATTGCCTATCATATGACGTCACAAATATCAACATCAAAAATGATGATGATCTCAATGACAATGTCTCAAGTTTAATTTGATTGCCATTGATAACGATGATGTTTGAAAACAAAATGATTTTTAAGATGGTACATAGGTACTTATGTTAGACTTAAGCACGGCACCAATGTAACAATCGGCGAAGGTCTTACTTTTATCGATAAAAATTTTCCATACGGATATGGATCGCCATTTCTTACTTATCATTTAGATTATTTCCATGACTTAAAAAAATTTATGTCTGTTAATTCTCTGATCGATTATCTTAAAAAGCTTTAAGCTTTAAGTTCATATCACATAGCGCTTTGTTGCTTGAACCCATATGGTTTCAAGTAATTTTATTGGTATGAATTTCACTTTGCATTATTCACTTTTATATTTGGATTCACCATTATATTTATTAAGAATTCATTATTATGGTATATTATAATGCATTTCAATAAATTTATTTATTTATTTAATATTTTAATAGTAATAATATAATATATTTCAAAGTTACTAAAATTCATGTAACTTGAAAACTATAGTTTGTTCAGATTAGTCGAATTACTTAGATTCAAGGGACTTGAATTCAAGTGATTTAAATTGAAAATTGTGTTCATATAAGTCAAGCTATTCGACTTGAAATTATATTGATTCAAGTAACGCGACTTCAAGTGGATACCAAATTCAAAATGCATATTTGAAGTGGCATTGAAAAATACGATTACGTATAATATATACAAATGTTAATTATAATTATAGACATGATAAGATTATAAAATTGTAAAAATTCAAAAGAATTCGGCTTGGTTTCAGGAACCGGTATCAACAAACACGAAATTGCATACAGTGTTAAGTTATCAACAACGATCAGCTACAAAATAAATCGGAGAAAAGGAGAGAAAATAGATTAAAAGTTAAATGAAAGAAAATTGTATGCTATCCATTTCGAATCAACATTATACAAAAGAATTTCATGATATTATGTAAAAAAATTTACAAAATGTTTTAAACGCAATATCTCAGCTCCACAATAGTTACACTTGCATCTGAATATCGCAGAACGTACATTTACATTTATTAACGACAACAATTAACATAAGCGAATTGTGAATATAACACATGATTCAACATTTATTATCGCATTGTATTAGATAATTTATTCACAAAATGGTTTTTATTGTTATTGTATTATAGAAAAAGATACATGTTTTTCTCATACTAATATGCGTTAATAGCAGGTGCAAATGGCTGGCAAACATTCGTCATGGAATGGATAAGATGGATCAGAATTGCGTTGCATAACATTCGATGCTACGACGTAAGGTTTAATTCGATCATTCGATACAAAATAGAGCTTAATGTCAGCATTTACGAATTTTAGATTATTTGTGATAACATTTTTCCTACTTTACGCAAGGTTAGTAAACGATTATTATCGTCGGTTGAATAAAGCAGAAAAAGAAAAGAGAATTTTACGACGAAGGACAGTTGTTGAAAAATCGAGGCACAAGAAGCATAAACTTCGCAAGTCCTTGCAATTATTTCGTTCTTATCTGTCTGGTCACTTTTTTAATACCACGATGATACGAATGCCACAATGTAACGAGAATTTCACAATATCCATTTTTCTATTTATTTCTATTTATTTTTCCGTGATCACAATGATGTGATCCGTTAAACCCGCAAGATCGAGGTATCGACAAGACTCGTTAAGCAATCGACCGATCGTACGTACGATTACAACGTTCCAACTCAGACATATTCTTGAATGCTTCTATGATACACAATCTACGTGGGATTTTCTAACATAAGGATGCAAAAACAGTTCACGATGTAGCTAATAAATATTCAGATGTGAGCAAGAGACAGAAAGGAGTCACGAATAACCACAATGCTTCTTAAACGTAAATTATGCTTACTATTAGGCTCTAGGTATACCAAGCTCGACGAGTATGGTTAATCCGATGAGATCTGGAATCCTGGACTGAAAATGTCGATATCTCAGGATAATGTCTGCACGAATTGTCGTGGCCGCTTTGTGCAAATTCGCACGAGCGTGATTTACGAAAGGTCACATTAGAATTGATTTCCTCTTGTCGTAAAATGTTGCATAATGCGCTATTATTGTGCTTAGAGCTGTTCTATTTCGTACGAAAGTACTTTCATTATATTTTAGTAACGCTGTTACATACGAATATTCCGTTATTTATTGCAAATTTATAGGCGGACAGTTTCACTTACAGATTTATGATAGAAAGTGGTAGTGTGCGCTTGCGAGAATCTATAAGCAAGGAAATCGATACGAAAGAAATTGTCTCCTTTCGTTAAAATATTAATAGGTAACAATTTTCTATTTGGAAAATATTGTTATCTTTTCTTATTCTTTTTTATTACCTATAAATTTCTGAACATTTTTATGAAATCCCATTATTTTCCGACAGTACGGTGATATAGACGACATTGTATGGCCCCGAGATATCTCGTCCGAAGTATCACGTGAACGACATAGCCTGTTAAGATATTTCGTTCACTTATGCGAAAGAGTTAACTCACAGCGTAGTAATAAAATTTAAAAATTGCTCGTCATAAATCCTTATCGCGTGCATATACATATGTAATTGCGCAGATCTCAATTATCCCGGAACACATCGTTTCCTATTTTCCCACCTGTTAACCACATTCTACGATAAATTCACATTTCAATGTCCACCCGATACACTATTACACAAACGCAATGATAGTTGACTTCCGGTACACACGGCGGGCACGCGACTCGTATCTCAAATTGAAAATTTATGAATCTATAATCAAGCAATATGGCTATTCTTTTACCATTTTATACGTATATTGAAAACTATGTTCTTTCAACCTTTTTCTTATTTTTGAAGAAAGTAGATTTTTTTTAATATTCTTAACCATTTCTTGGAAAATGTAGATTTCATTTATGTTAGTTGTAGTTAGTTACGTTAGAAGAATCATATGTATAAGTCTGCAAGAAGACTGTGAGTCATTAAAAATAGTTTATATTAATTAATTAATTTTCTATTTGTTGTTATAGAATTTATCTTAAATTATTTATTCAAAATATTTTTCATATTAAGCCATCAATTATTCGAGATATCATTTGATGTAATGTATTATTTGCAAAAATTCACAAATAATACGTTCCTACTATCGACAATTTTACATAATTGTAAATGCCGTTTGTATCGAGCGCTGAAATTGCCCGATTTTATGTGGTGCGCAGTTTCCAGGAAATACACACATGTATATTGTGAACAAAAAGATTTGTGGTTTAAGAAAATCGTGATGATGAACTTTGAATTACATACATTATTGCGAAAAACATGTTAACGTCAAGATTTCTGTTACGGCAATTAACATGAACACAAAAATGAGCCTTCCAGCGATACATATTCTATCGCACATTGTGGCGAAAAACAGACATTTCCTATAAAAAATGCTCTAAAACGATAGTCTCTAGAAAAAGAGATACTTTGGTTTTTAAGGCAATTTACCTCATATATAATAACTAATAACTTGGTAATATTAAAGCAAAGTATATTAGCATTTTTAACAAAAAAAAGTATGTTAGCATTTTATAATAATGATAATAATAATATATATTTCTATTTTTTAAGGAATAATAAAAATTTGTAACATTTTCTCCAAATTATCATTTAAAGATACCTAATAAAATACAAGTTTATAATTAGCGATTTTACTTAGATTTCAACAGGCGATTGCAGCTATACGTTCTACTAAAAAACAAATTAATATTTATATTCAATAGAATTAAAATAATTTGGAGGTTTTCTAAATTCTAGTACGTTAAAGATAGTTGCATCGGATAAAGATTAATGCATGTATAATTTCATTTTAAATTCTAATCTTTGTGATAGATATATTAAATATAAACTTTAGAAAATAATTGAAAAGGTAGAAATGATTTTTTTAACAATTTTAATTAATCTTTCTTGTTAAATTTCAAACGTGTACAAGAATACCAACTTATGGAAATAAACAAAGCCACTTCAAAATCCATATCAAACGATTGCGAAAATGTATTTCACGACTACACGTTGCAATGTTTACGTAACGTGCATTCATTTCAGGATCCATAAAAATAAATCCAGAGTCTTACATATGTCCCTCTAAAATCGCTTGTCTTTTCAAATGGTAAATGAACAGACATATTATCTTTACAACCTACTCTTTTTAACTCATTTAACAATTACACTTAAGGAAACATAATTGTACTTCAGCTCTACGGATTCAATCTTTTTCTCGATCAATCTCATATACCTTGGGCTCTTTAAACAAACAAATTAAAAAAATCTCGAGATCTACCGATAGAAAATTAATTAACATACATTCATCGTAATCTCTACATAAAATCTCCTCAGGTGAAGATTCAAAAACGATTTGAATAGGAAGCACAACGAATCGTTCGTGTGGGGCAAATCTTATCGAAATTGTGACGCTCGAAAGTCTGGTTTTCGATTTAGAGATATCCAGCCCATCGGAACGCATTGATTATCAATAAACGTTCTCGATAATCGCGAAACGAATATCGAGATTATTTCGTCGCATAACGCGAATTATCAACAGCTACTTACATATTGCTTTAAACGATTCTTTTTAGCTTGAAATACGTTGCTAACACATTTTACATAAATGTACTTACCTGTATTCTCGGTCGTTAATTCCGAATTCTCTTGAGAAATTGCTGATGCCTTCCGATTGTTCTGCCAAGAACATCAATAAAAAAAGTTCGATCTTTGATCAACTTGCAATTCACATTCTCGAACGAGCCTCTTGGAAAAGATCCTTCTCCCTCGAATCGTTTTTTCACTGATTCGATCCTCCTGAAGACTTGAATTATTTCGTCCTCCTTCCCGTATCTTATTTACCTTTCTACACGCAATAGTAATCTCGCAGGAGATAACGATTTATCGGCGATTCTTAGATGAGTCTTGGCTACTATCGTGCAGTATGATTTATTGATTCATTGATACAGCGCTAGATGATCCTCACACACGAAACTCGACTGTAAGTGTGCTTCTGTTTCCACAACCCAGCTTCTCGATCGTCTTTCGATGATTGATATTTTATTATCACCGTTAATTATTTGTTTATACTAGGTTTATGATGATTTAAGGGCAATAAAATTCATACGGCAGTCGCTCTGTCACCGTTGCGAGGAAACGTGCGTTAAACGTATACAGAAAACTGCAGAAATTTGTCAATTCAACGAAGAAGACAGCGTTGCTGATGGGTACAGCTCGATAAAAATTTTGAAACGCGAAAGCGTTAAACCTGATGAATTTGGGCTTTTCAAGCGACCGCGTTGATGTTAACGTCGAGACGTTGTCCTGACGTTGTACTTACTTCGCCACTGTCAGTGAACGATCTGTTCTATCGTTTCCTTTTATGCGTCTCGCAGGAACTCTCAATTCCATAACCTTCAATTTTTTCTATATTCCCTAATTCTTCGAGCGTAGTTTAATTTACTTTCTGATTCTTACGTTTAAAAAATCTTTCCAACTATTCCACTTTTACTAACACTGTTAGTAAACTGTAGACTTCCTAAAAATCTTTTTCCTTTGAATTTGTCAAAATTCCTGCTAAATTACAGGAAATCCTCGATATTTCTTTAATCCGCGTCTTCTTTCCAATGATCTGACTGGAGAGGTTCTCGCAGGAAGAATGAAAGATATCGTCCACGAACGTTGAAAAAGTGTCAACGTATTAGCAAGGAGGAAACGCGGCGCAGGAAAACTCGCGCGTGGAACGGTGACAGGCGTCGTACACGACTGGCCAGGTTTTTTCGGCGTTACGCAGGTATATATACGAGCCGGTGTGTATAGAGACAGAGACGCGCGATTCAACTCGCTAGTGTCCCGCTAGAATTGACGTCGTAACTCGAGGGAGGGGAGATAGAGGCCGTCCTCCTAATATGTTCTATCGAACGTGCTCGCGAAAAGACGGTTGTCGTTCGAGCGAGTCGTCCTTAGCATCGTGACGATCGCGCGTACCGAGGGCCACTGGAACCACACGAATCGACTCTTGCTCTACCAAGCCGATCTCGTATCGTCTGTATTTCGCCTCGTCCCTTTCACCTTCCTTCTATCTCCTTCCGTTCAAATCAGCTTCGTCTTTTCGCCCAATTGAAACGATCATTCCCTCCATCGAGCTACCCTCTCTAATGTCACTGATCTCCTGAACTCTTTTCCCTGGCGACGCTCTTTTTCCTCCTGTCACCTCTTCGCCGACCCACTTCGTGATTTCGAACGTTGCGTAAGTGGCTCAAGCGGATGAATCACGCCGCACTGATACAGTTTCGACGTGCGAGAATGTCAAAGAATTTGGTTTATGGGGGAAATGGGGTAATTAGTGATAGTTCGCGAGAAGAAGATTGCCCATTATTAGACTGCGGATTTTTATGAACTTATGGGAAATTTGAAGATAGAGAAATGCACAGAATACACGTAACATGCGAAGATATATAAAATATACGAAGTACAGTAACCTTTGCAATATTTAATAAACAATACAATTTTCCACGTAATTTTCACTTTGTACATTATATTTATAGAAACATGAATTTCCATAAATATCCATAGTCTTGAAATTGCTTAGAAGAAGGAAAATTGGGAATTACTAAACTGCGGATATTGATATATTTAATTTAATTTATAAGTATAAAAATATATGCACTTGTGACAATATTTATTGGATTAAATAAACCCTTCTACTTAGATTCTATTTCTTTGACTATGTTCACAAAAATTCAGATTTACATGAACATCAGATATTTGCAGCCTAGTAATTATTTAGAATAGGGAACACCTTGCCGATTTTAATAAGGTTGAAATATTTTGTCAACGTCAATGTACTTAATAATTTCCCCATGTACTTTAATTTACGAGTTACAGGCAAATAGTTACAGGAATTTAACACCTCATGAAAGATAGACTTCGTTAGTGTTTAAATATTTATATGGTTATTCGTAAGTAACTATACGTAAAACTAATGATGAGGAAATACTAGGATTGGCAATAATATCATAAATTGGTATTAGTAGAAATTTGTCTTCAGATTTTTGCCTCTCGATAATCGTGTTTACGTAATTGCATTAATAGACTGATTTACATTCAGAAATGAAAGAAATTTTGGCTACTTTTAATTATTAAGAATAAATAAATTAATTGCTAACACTAAGTGATAGATAATGATGATTAGTGATTGATAACGTTATACAAAGAATGGTAAAATGGGACGAGATGTTATTCTACGTGTAAAACTACCTAAGAAGATGTAGAATAGAATTTTTCGTTCAAGGCCTAAAGACGAATATGAAAATTCGTGGAATGCGAATAATTCGACAAGTTCTTAAATAAATACGTATGTTTAAACTCAACCGTCTCGAAACAAAAACTTTAAATGAAACAAAATTTCAAACAAAGAAATGTTTATTGTATGGGTGCTATTAACAGTAATTAATATAATTTAAATTACAATAAATTTTAATTAATAATAATTATTCTTGCCTCACAATTAAATATATTTATTTCTATAGCGTGAAATTTGAAAGTGAACTTTTCGACTGTCTTACGAGTTAAATTACATTTTTTTTATAATCAACCAATGAATCCTTTCGAAAATATTTTCTATCAGTGATAGGGTCTCTTTTACAAATACGATAGATAAAACATTTTTCGAATGAATAAGTTGTTTTATCACTTATTCGTATGTTAGTTAAAGTTAAAAAAGTCTAACAAATGGAGCAATCAGGTATGTTTGCGACAATCAATAATGATTTCATATAGACGGTATTAATTCTCCTTCCACTTAAGATATGTTCAGGTGAAATTATAATCGTAACTTGGAATATTGAAACAAAATAAAGATAATGAAATTACAAAGATAAAATTCATTTTAAGCAGACGCATAATTTATACATTTAGATAAAATAATCACACTGAAACCTCGTTTTTATTATTCAAGCTTTACGAATTATAATCCTATATTATCCACGAAATAGCATAACAATAACATATTTTACTATTTATTATGTGTACATGTTACATATACACGTATTTACTATTTAAATCAGTGATTGTATTTATATCAAAGAACTTTTTAAGTCGTAGAAATGTTTTTATCAGTTTAAAAGATTCTGCAATTTTGATTTATAAATTGAAAATCAAAAGTTGAAGATAGAAGATTTATCAAGCAATAAAATATTTCTACGAGCTTTGACGATTACAAACTATAGTTTTATTACAGCATACTGGGTTTCAAAAAACAATTTAATGGGATCATAACATGTTATCCTGTGTAACTGTGATGGTTACAAGGAATTAAATTATTGTAGTTGATTTATCCGTAGTTCTATAATTAAAATACATCTTATAAAAAGCAACGATATTAATTACATTTTTCTGGGTACTTTCGAGCGGTAATATAATCATCATCAGAAAGGCGTGATGTTTAAATTCCGGAAGTATTAACTCTTACGTAAGCATGCGGCTAACGAGAAAATTCTATAAATAATTATGTATCGAGATGTAGTTTGCATGATACATGTTGTTGTAGCGCAACAGTGAGATCATAAAATCGAGTCTTTAGAAATAACTTAAGCGATCAACAACTGACGACTACCGTTTACAAACAGGAAAAACCCAGTGATTATCGAATTTTTTTAATCAAAATGCCTTTTCCTCCATTTCTTAAACTCAATGCAATTCATTATTTTATTGCCTACGAATCGCTAATCGGACATTTCAACGTCGCGCGTTACGTAGTAACCGATACGTAAGGATTGGATCCTCTCTTTCCGCAAAATATGTGTTCATCATTTACTTATTTTCTGCACCTCCTCTATCTCGAGAAAATGCCAAGTCAGGAAATTCGAGTGTCCATCCCCAGCAACGTGCCTAACTTTAATCATTTCAACTACCAACTAAACACGAATTTTTAAACAAATCTAAGTGCGCTCCTATTTTGTTCTTTTTTTTTTTTTACGAAGCGTCGTTATATTTCGAAGTTCGTTTGCTGCATTAAGTTAGAGTTCGAGAGTTAGTCGATGGCGAGCGTGAACGATCGTACTGACACGAATGTGTATTGAATCAGCATGAATAATTTAATATGTAAAGCGTAGAGATTTGAATATTTATGCAGACAATTATAGATATACAAATGGTCTCTTATCCAAAAAAGACATGATTCTCCGCCTTGAATTCTTTTATATATATTTTTTTTATACCTACAAAATACATTACAAAAATTATATTGCATGTAATATATATAATATATATATATATATATATATATATATATATATATATTATTATTATATATATTACATGCAATATAATTTTTGTAATGTATTTTGTAGGTATAAAAAAAATATATATAAAAGAATTCAAGGCGGAGAATCATGTCTTTTTTGGATAAGAGACCATTTGTATATCTATAATTGTCTGCATAAATATTCAAATCTCTACGCTTTACATATTAAATTATTCATGCTGATTCAATACACATTCGTGTCAGTACGATCGTTCACGCTCGCCATCGACTAACTCTCGAACTCTAACTTAATGCAGCAAACGAACTTCGAAATATAACGACGCTTCGTAAAAAAAAAAAAAGAACAAAATAGGAGCGCACTTAGATTTGTTTAAAAATTCGTGTTTAGTTGGTAGTTGAAATGATTAAAGTTAGGCACGTTGCTGGGGATGGACACTCGAATTTCCTGACTTGGCATTTTCTCGAGATAGAGGAGGTGCAGAAAATAAGTAAATGATGAACACATATTTTGCGGAAAGAGAGGATCCAATCCTTACGTATCGGTTACTACGTAACGCGCGACGTTGAAATGTCCGATTAGCGATTCGTAGGCAATAAAATAATGAATTGCATTGAGTTTAAGAAATGGAGGAAAAGGCATTTTGATTAAAAAAATTCGATAATCACTGGGTTTTTCCTGTTTGTAAACGGTAGTCGTCAGTTGTTGATCGCTTAAGTTATTTCTAAAGACTCGATTTTATGATCTCACTGTTGCGCTACAACAACATGTATCATGCAAACTACATCTCGATACATAATTATTTATAGAATTTTCTCGTTAGCCGCATGCTTACGTAAGAGTTAATACTTCCGGAATTTAAACATCACGCCTTTCTGATGATGTTATCTTTGCAATTATGTGGAGAATCGATTTCCATTTATTCCTATAAGAGTGAAAAATACAAAGGAAATTAAGACTTTACGTAAGATTTTACTCGAATACTCGTCTTTGTATTATTCTCATATTGTCATTTTGAATATTTCTAATTTTTTTCTGTGGTATTATATTAAGCTCTATAAAATAAGTAATTAATAAAAAACAAATATCAGAAAATAAGTTTACGGAAGTTTAAGCTATCACGTAAGAAACATTTATACGTGTGTAAATATAAGCAGTTTTTATGAGATACGAATTCATTGACTTATAAAACTGTTTGAGATCCCTTGAAGTTCTGGCAGAGAGGCAATAGAGCAAACTGATTCGCCGTTTTCACTAATTAACTTCAATAATCAGCATCCTTTCTCTTTCACACCACCATATTCTTTGATGATAGACAACATACTCTCGATTGTTCCAAAAATCTAATAAAAGATAAAAAGTTGGAAAATTATTCGATATGAAACACAGATCTTTTAATCCAATATTATTTCATCCATTTAATCATAAAAGTCAATAAACGGAAATGTCCTATCATCCAAAATCTATTTATTCCATTTGGTTCGGAAAGAGTGAAATATTTTTATTCTGTTTCGGAGCGGAAAAAAGAAAAAAATAAATATTTAAAACAACTTAAATTGTAGAGTGCAGTAAATTTTCATCTATAAAATCTATGAGTACCACATTACATCTATGAGTGTTCAGTCAAGTTACTTAATTCAAGTAAATGAACCAAAAAATACGGAACATTAAATCATTGAAACGTTTTAATGGAAACATTTTAACTTTTACTTCGAACTGTAGAAACTCGACTGGAATAGAATCCAATTGGAAAAATAAATAGGACTAAAAAAATTAGAGTGCACACGATTTCCAAGTAATATTGAATTGGTTATGTATCAAATGGGAACCTAAGCAAGAATCTACTGTTAAATTATAGATTAGATTTTGTATTTTGTTTTGTAATCCAGCAAAGAAATATGTAAGCAGTTGAAACGCGACTAGCGAAATATACATTCTGCATTTTGCACGTTTTGTACTTCTACATTTTGTACACTTTAAAATATCTTCATTTGAAATGAAATGAAACATAAGAAAAATAGGCACAGCAAGTAACATAAAGTGCAGGAAAGTAACTATCATATGATGAAGTATGAAACAACTAGGCCTTAAAATTGACGTAAAAATATAAATGATAACGTTTATATAAATGTTTGAACTCAAAGTTCGTCATTTCTACTTCTCACTGAAATTGCATAATTGTCCAGCCGCTAATTTTGCCCGCTAATTAGGGGAACTCCTCAAATTGTTAAAGTTCTATAGCTTGATAGAGTGGATAATCAATTTTTATTAGAAAATTGATATCTGTATTAATTTCCTTATCTTCCTGAATGGTTTTCTTATAAAAATGTTCGTTAAAAATAAGAAGGCATTATAGATATCTTCTCATGATTGTTTGTAATTTGATAAAGCGTCCTTTCGACGCTAACAATTTTTATTACGATACTAATCTTAAAGTTGTTAGAACTCCACCGTTGAAGGACAATTTATTTTATGTAGATATGAATTTTGAAATATTTTAAGAAATATTGTGATTAATTAATTAGTTAATTAATTAAGATATTATTAATAGTTTGTTTTAGTAGTATTGTTATAAGATATTATTAATAGTTTGTTTTAGATAGTATTAATATAAGTTTGTTATTTTATTATGACGATTAATATTAAATACAATTAATTAAATAATAATAATTTGGTTACTATACTATTGTTCACGACGATAATAATTACTTCATTATGTATATAAGAATTATGAAATAAAACGTAGTGCTATATCTATTTAAAGAATGGTATGCAATTTTGTATGTCTGTAAACTGAAAAATAAGAAGTGAATTGAAACTTGTTTCTTCTACTAAATATTATAAACAGTACTTTATTCTGTATATTTTATATATTTTTATACGTAATGTATATTCTACAAATTTTTCCAGTTTCAAATTTCCCATTAATGCAAAAAAAGTCGGCAGTATAATTACAATTAATTTTAGGATTATCGTATCAACACGAGTAAAAAGGAAGCAATCTAACACAACAAATCACATTATTAAATGGTAACGAATCAATGAATAACGTTTCGCGTCAAGCATAGTACGCTAATTATGATCACCATGTTTATCACTGGATACACGCATTATCAGCATCGTTAATTTGCAAACTTTTAACTCGTTTAATGAAGAATCCGTATTATGTAACATCGATGATTGTACAAAACTCCCAGAAATTATGTAAATGCTCAGGGATTGCGTAAAGTATGTTGAACGAGCGAATTATGACATTCACTTTCGATACTTACCAATAACAGAATCCAGATCAGAGTAATACCGATGTTTTTTACGAGAAGAAATCGAGTAGCCTGTTCCCATTTTGTTGCAGTTTCTATCACTACAGGAATCAATAACATAACTGTGGTCATGCTTAATGCTGCGAGAAGGCTAAGTAGTGGGACCATTTCTGGAATCGAAACTGCCAGTATTGCTGCGAATGTTTAAAAAAACAAAGAGTTGGTAACATCAAATAAAATGTCGAATAATGTTGTGAGATTCGAGAAATTTTAGAGATAATAAATTTATAATGTAAGAAATAAATGTGAAAGTTGATGATATGTGAAAGTTTTGAGGTTGATAACAAAAATTTCAGAGGAGCTATAATATTATTTTATTACCATAATATAATAATCGTTTTATTAATAGATATTTTAAAATAAAATAAGAATATACAGTATAAAATAAATTGTAATAGTGCGATCTAATAGTCGTAAAATATTTCGTCTTATAAGTCAGTCCTGGAAAGAATACATTAAAATTATGTACTAACGATAAGTATGAAGCAAACAGAAAGAGAAGCAGAAAGGAAAAGCAAGACCAAGATTAAAATATAAACAAGTTGTAGTAATTAATATGAAATAAATTCACGATTCATATATGTTATTTTATTAATTGATTTAGCTTACTCGTTGCAATTACGCCGCAAAAACGGAATATCGCTTCTCCATAACGAACCATTTTGTTAAATTTCGAACGAATCATCGGCCACAATATTGAAATTGGTACATAAAAGACCAATCCAAATGAGAACAGAACGGACAAAGACATGGTTATTTTAACCGATTTCGCAAGTCTGAAATAATAACAATGAAATCATTTTTAAATAAAGTAATTTCATGTGAAATATTCGGTTTAAATAGAAATTCAAATAAAAATGAAGTAACAAGAAGAGTTTGATTTTTATATAAAGGAATCGATACAAAAAATATGGAAGCGAAAAATAAAAATTTATAGATATATTTTATTCATCCTATTCTCACGTCTGTTTAAAAATATGCGTTCTGAATTGATGGGGCCGCAATTAAATTATGATAAGGATAATGTATTATCGAGTATGCATGTACCTTTAAACTCTCGATATTACGAGAATGGAATTTGTTTATTCATGTTAGAATAACGTGCATTCTTCCATCGCGAATAAGAAGAATACTTTCTTCGAATCGCGTATACATAACTCGTGAATGTGACAGATTAAATAAAGAACAGTCGAGCAGTATCTGTCTCAATAAAATAAAAAACATTTTGAAAGAATGTTGGTAGAGAATAAAATATAAAATAGGAATGCGATAGTAATGTTAATAGTCAACAGAAATTTCCCACAAACCGTAACGATCGTGATAAATGAGTCCTTTTAACGAATGAATAAAATATAATGTTTATGTGTATTTAGTAATATTTATCAAATTTACACTGACAATACTGTTATTTATTGTATAAGGATAGTAAGATAGAAGTGATATAAAAATCGTGTATTATCTGAAAGAGTAAACCGAAGCGTTTGTCTAATGCTAAGTGTCGACTTGAGAGTAAAATTATCGCGTGTTGCTCTCGAGAGCGTTTCTTTCATGTGGACATTGCATTTAAAGTTTAGTTACATGTTGATATTTACGACTGATAGTTGCGATTTATCCTCGTATGGATACAAATCATATTACTATCGGACAATTACTCGCAGCAGTTTCGAATTCTTGAGAGAACTCTCGTGCGAGCTGTCACTCGAATCTCTCCTGTTCTCAGGTAAAACAACGGAAACCAATATCAATAGCTAGATCAATGATCAATAGCTAATGTAAAGACATCTCGCAAACTGTGGCCAATAGGGTGATTATTATTTTCGGCTTTCGAATTTTTTTCGTACTACCTCCCAAAATAACTCCAATTAATAAAATTTATATTAAAAAAAAAAAAAATATATATATAGATATAATAATATATATATAGAAAAACAAGCATATGACTCGAATAGATACTTTCTTTTTTAATAATTTATTATAACTTTACGATTTGTCCAGTAAATATTAAGCAAATTTTTATACGCTACGTTCGTTTACGTAGCCCGTGAATGACAATCGCCTGCATAATGCCATCTCAGGATGGGTTTTGAATCTCAAATGAACACGATTCTGAGAGCTCTGTCTGACAGGAAGTTCTCGGTGAGTTTTCTATCGCCTACCTGAGAGTACAAATTCCAAAGATTACTCTCGAATGGACTCTTAATTTGACAGTAATCTCGCGAGAAACTGCTGGAAGTGAATACTTAGCATAAAGCTGTAGACAATGTCACATTATTCGTTAAGAAAGATACGGCTTGATCGATACGAGGAAAATTATCTTCGATTCAGATATCATAACGCTAAAATATTTGCTTATTATCACCTTGTAACAGATGACATGTAAACGGGGATCATATTTAAAAGTTTAATATAAAAGAAGACAAAACGCCATGTTTTCGAGATCTTATTATAAAACTTGTTCAATAAGTATCATATTTGAAGTTGACAAGTGTCTGGTAATTTATGAACGGGACTATAACTAATAAAAGTCTTATCAACAATGAATATTTGCAAGTCAAATCATTTAATTGAAATAATTAAAAGATTTGATTGAATTCGTTTTATTGAAATGTTTATAGCACTTTCTTATAAAAGACGATCGATTACTCTTCTATATCCATTCTCTATTTTATCCGTATACCAAGCGGAAGATTAACAATTAATTTCGCAATAAAATCTTTATTTGCGACAAATATCATCGATAATCAACATGATTATTATAAAGCAGTAATCTTGTTAACGAACAAATAAATTAGACTTAACATCCTTTCAAAACACAATTGATCGATACATTTTTAATACCAGTTGCACCGTTGAAATTACACGTCATCATCATGATTTTTCTTATAATTAACACATTGAAAACGTGTGAATTAACGCTTTCCATTTTTTAGATATCAAGAACAAAGTGCGTTAATCGACGTTTTCCATTTTATTTTATTTCACATATCTCCCAAAAATATGCAGAAAATGAGGTAAAATTTATTCCAAAATATACAGTAAGATAACTACGTCTTTCATAAAATTAAGGAAAGTACACAAAGAAACAAACAAACGAAAATAACAAAAAGTTTCGTTTCAAAATTACACTCCTTTTTACGCAGAAAACGCATCATCGCGCTTGTCTCGAGAATGAAACGTTCATTGAACACGAACAGATAGGAAAAAGTCGTCAATGATAAGGAAAGTATTCGATGAAATGTAGTAGTTGCACACGTAGTTGTGTATACCGTGGCTACAAAAAGCATTTGCAAATATCTTTATTTTCCAATGCAGTATTTTTTTAATTATTTTTTTATTTTTCCATTATTTACGTTTCATTTCCATAATATCAAATTTTTGTAAACTTATGAAAATATTACCAGAGGTAAAGTACTATCATAAGAGTAATACGAACTTTATCATAATTGTATCTAATTAATTAATACATACACACAATTGTGGACAAAAATAATACATAAAATAATGAAAAATAGAAGAATAAAAATTAAATAGTAGAAGTGAGTACCAATGAAGTTTAATCGAACTAGTACTAGTGTTATATACTTAAGTCATATTTATTATATTCTTATACTCTTATAGTACAAGGATTAATTAATAAACAATTGAAATTAATATTTACATTCTAATGTAAGCCTTGTTTAACTAAATTTCATTGGCATATATTTCTATTATCTATCCGCTTATTTTTATTCGTGACTGTAAACGTAGTAATAAATGCAGTGATATAGGTATACAAATATACCTTTTGTAGCCACTGTACAAATAACAAAGCGAAGATAGATAACGAAGTTTGCATGATAAGGAATGCCATAGAACAAGTGGAAATTATGGTATTGATTGTGAGATTCCCGGGGGTATACATACAGCCTACATACCGAAAGATTTCACGAATTTATCACGAACAAGTCGATCGAATTTTATAACATGTCTCAAAATTAAAGAGTTAAATGGCTACGAAGCTTCCGAAAAATATTTCCATTCTTCTTATATTTGCAATTATTCTATAGAAAAGTAATATGAATTGTTGCTATCGTTATCGCAGTTGTCCTTGTGGAAGAAACGTCGTGCTTGTATAATTGTGTTTTAACAATTGCTGATTGGACATTGCTTATATCTCAATTGCATATATCAATATGGTGTGCGAATAATGATTAATAGAGGTGCAAAAGCTTCGTGGGAAGTCGCGAGGATTTTTATACAGTTGTGCTTAATCCCCTAACCTTGATATTGAAGTGTCGTGAAAAACGTTAAGTATTTTGTTTAAAAATTGGGATTGAGAAGTGCAAAAATGTATTTACGAAATGCAATATACAAAAATATGAAAAATATTCAAAATGAAATAGATGTTATAATGTTTAATAGGTGAAATAAATCTTTATGTAGATCTAATTGCCATAGATATGTTAATAAAAATATGAAATTACATAAAAATCGGCAGTCTAATGATTAATATTTGAATATTTAATCATTGAAATTAGATATCACGAAAACTTTTGACTCAACTTTAGAATTTAATTATATAGAACATATACTTGATAAATACACAATTTTTTATTTATATATGTATTTTTTTAATGTAACAGAAAAATTAAAAAAAAAATTACAAAATTTGCAAGAAATGACACGATTCTTGTTTCATTCGAAACAACATTTTGCATCCTTACTCGTTCGTACTATTCCACTAACAGTTCTTCTGATAAATTATAAGTTACAACGAATTCGAATGGTATTATCCTACAATTAGTCACTGTCAAAATGCGGTAAAATTATCACAATCATATTGCGATAACTCTTAGTCCCTTTTCTTCCATCATTTCATCATTTCTATTCAATGCGTTATTTTATATACGTTAAACATTACAGAACAGAAAACAGCACGACAGAAAAGACGTCAATATTGTTCCAAGAACGCAATGTTACACTGGACTATGGAAAATTACCGTAACTTACTGCAAATAAGCACTTTCGATTAAACACTCATAGAGCCCAGATAATTCATTCTTCTACATGAATTCATCGTAGATGAATTAAATAACAAGTATGTATCAGTACGACGCATCCAAATACGACGCATCATTTCGTTATCCTAATTTCTATCAAAAAAAAAAAAAAAACAAAAACAAAGTTATCGACGGAAATACGTACTCGATGCCATACTTCCCAGAAATTAATACCCTCCTATTTACAGTTAATGTTCCGTTTTTAAGATTAATTAAGATTAATTACGATCACATACTAGAGAATTCGCGCATGTTTGTTTTCATTAAATACGGGCGATTATTAACGTCGATAAGATATATCGCGTATGTTACGCAAATCATGTTTTGGCTAGGTGGAATGCGAAATGTTTAATAACGGGAAACATAGTACGAAATAAAACATTATTATGTGCTTTGTCTAGACAGATATCTGTACGTGCTAATAATTACGGAATAAATATCATAAACGATATAAGCACATATAAAGTAAGTGTACGTAAGAAATGAATTTTTAACACGAAAAAGTTGCAAATGAGATACGTATAAATATAATAAACATGGATTGTATAAAAGTGCTAAAATGATCTATTTTTACTTTCAGGGCTGTTGCAAAATAGAGCATTAACACGTATAATCATAATAGTTAAAACTATAACGTGATAGATAAATTTAAACCTAATCCGATACAATTTTTACAATTTATCCTGCCTCTAAATGTATATATTCTTTCCAGATAGGTGATAAAAGCTGAAAGTTCATGGCATGCAAGTGTTAAACGTTGTCAAAATTAAGTGTCAAAATTAACAGAAA